CAAGTCGCTAAGACTTGTAGCAAAACGTTGTTTGGATCTTCATCTGCCACCTGTCAAGGGCAGGAAAAATTGTTCTTGCTTCACATGTGGAACAGTTAAAATTGGTTTTGCAGACTCATGGTTTGGTGATTTGAGAAGTTTTGGCATGAACTTACAAGCACCTGCTTTGTTTTCTTCGTCAGCCACCAGATCAACACCTTCACATGCGCTGCTTTAAACCGAGAGCCGATTTCTGCGTAGTCAGAGCCACCAGTGTTGGCCTCGCTCAAGATAGGCTTTCCGGGCACATAGAACCTCAAGCGCACAGCTGGCACAAGCAAGCCATAAAGTTAAGTGAGGGCACAGTACCACGCACCACCAAACTTACTTCTTCACTTTTACAGGTAACCCATGTTTTTTGCAAGTTTCGCTGACTTCATCATGCACAGCACTGAGGATTAGATCGAGATCGGTCAACCCCAAAGAATCATAGCAACCTTCTCGGATGAGAACACGAATCCTGCTGGCAACGAGGTCACGACCTGTTCCCAAGAACACGTTGTGTAAAAGATCCCAGCTGACGGTTTCAAGTCTGAAACCAGGAACTGCTATCCACGGCGAAGGTACGCCTTCCAACCTAAGGTAGTCCTCATGGCTAAGAAAGGTCATTGACCATGCCTCTGAAGTACCAAAGTTCCTGTAGTTCATCCGATCGCAGCACTGCTGGCCAGAGCACGCCAAACAGCTGTCGCAAAGCCTTATGTGGTTGTGCTTTGTGGGTCTATATGTATATATTTATTTATGTATATATGTTGTTTTTTCACACCAATTTACGGACCATTTCTCTATAGATGCAGGGTCAAGGGTGAACAAACACAAACTGAAACCTCTTCTAAGTTTGTATAGAGGAGGAGCAAGTTGCACTGGTACCACCCCTGAAAAAAGTTCATTTGGTGTCTTGCCTTCAAGTCCGCTTTCATTGTGAAGTAGCAAGCCCTGAACTGAATGCGACTTGCGCAAACAAAGAAAACCTTGGCTCTATGAAATGAAAGCCTACACCAAAACCCTGAGACAGCAACCCAAACAATACAAGCTTCCGCCACCCCTTCGCAAGCTGCTGCCCTCTTATTTGATATCTGTAGGATCGCTTGGGGAACTCCTCTCCATAAAATCCCGTCACAGGAGCGACCGCATCAGAAGCGCATTTGATGCTCCAGGCGAAAACGTCAGCAATGATCCTCTCGACCCCACTGCGGACCTGGGCTTGCTGTCGACATCCCGGCCCTCAAGAAGAGAGACAAAAATGGTCTTTCTAAACCACTTCCAAAACAAAGATGTTATGCGTAGCCCTGGTACATTGTGACTCTTCATGTGCCGCTCATGGATAGCTGCGAAAGGAAACTTGTAATGAAGAACATCTTTGATTTCCCCCTGAGATCCCCAGAAACTCGAAAAGGACCATACGAAACACTCATCATCCCTCTTCATTGCCGCACCATCACCGTGGACACAAATGGGGATCACATCGCTCATGTTGTTGCCTTCCATGATGCTGAAGATTGGGCGCTCTCGCCATCCATCTAGGTTCCGAATGTGGCTCCAGAACTTGTCTCTAGAACACTTGTCTAGGTGACCGAGAAGTGTCGAGTCCACCACGTGTGGCACGTCCGCTTTCATCAAGCAGTCCAAAAGTTCGTGAGGTAGAAGAACTCGCACCTGGTACAAACACAACACATGTTCCCCTCCCTGTACCTTTTGACACGTACAGAGAAGCATCACTGAGAACCATTGAGACCCATTGACAACCATAACACAAGCCAGAAATGACCTGGACTGCCCGGGTCTTGGCGCCATCAACCTAGGCAGCGCGCAGTTGAACCGACGACGAAGCTTGAATTGTTGACCAAAGTTGTTTTGTACTCTTTGGACTATTTGCAATCAAAAATGTACTACTAAATTTCAGAGGGGCCTGCAAGTTCATTGTAACTGCGTAGGACTCGAGTTTGAACCCATAGAGCCCTCCAAGCCATGTGTGAAGATCCCTCTCGTTGTTTCCAGGGTGATCGCCACTACAACCAAGTGAGCTAAACGCCGCCACCTCATCACGCCAAATCAGTGTTTCTATCCTACAGTCAGTTCGCTATTTTCACAACAAATACTTCAACATACTCGAACAGCAAAGAACAGGGTTTGCATGAGTCAAGCTACAGCTTCTACTGGTAGCTTGTGGTCCTGTACCACAGATCGCGCTACGTCCGCAGCAGCTGTAATGCTCATATGGCCTCTAGAAATAAGGTCGGTGAGTTTCTCAACAGTCGCCACATCCTCGTAATTCTCCAAAGCTACCCGCTTTCGCTTCCTCTGCAGGGTATAGAGGTCAAACCCTATAGTCGATGAACCCTGAAATTGAATCCCAGCAAAACAAAGGTTTGGGTATTGAAACCTGCGGCAACAGGCCACTTCGCTCCCGTGGATCCACTTTGCTCCCTGCGTGGTCCTCGACGAAGTCAAGGCAGAGCCTGGCCCGGCACAGGGATCATGAATGTTTTGTAGAGGAACTTTGGATTCCAGGACTTGACTTCAATTCCCTCAGAACTGTACTGCAACGTTTCGCCACCCCTGCCCAAAAGTAAAGACGATTCTGCAGCCGGAGCTTCTTTGGAATCCCCGAACATGGCCCTCAAAGAAGCGCAGATGGAATTTGTTTGTGAACTGTGAAGCAAAATTCTGGTGCTTAGGTATCATAGAGGACCATGCATCTAAGGTAGACTCCAAGCTCCACTGCTTGCAAGTGTTCTCACTTGACTGAAGCCCCTAGCTCAAAAAGCGATCTCATATATACAAAATGCCTCATACAGGCCCCTGTTTTACAACCACCGTTTTGGGTGAGTCCGTCTTCTTCTTCCGAGTCTCTTCCTTGGTCTTTTTGGTTTTGCTTTTCCCCGGAGGTCGCAGGAGAGCCGCTGCTGTAACTTTAGGAGCGGATGAGAAGGGGCCAAATGAGGATTGCGTGTCTCACATGGTGCTATAGGAGAACGTTGAACACTGTGCTTTCATGTCTTACATATGTTCATAGATCGATGTCAAGCTATCCAAAGGTTTGGACACACCATTGCCTTGGACTTCTCACCAAAGGATTTCAGAGTCTCCATGTGCTTAAAGAGCCCTTTGAATGCCTTTTCATCACCTTTTGCATCCAATGTTTTTTGGAACTTCTTGAACAGGGACTCAAGAGCCTTTGCGTGCTCCAAGAGCTGACCAGACAGCTCACCTGCGTATTCCACGCTTGACAGCTTGATTGATTGGGTTCGAGCTGTCGCTGCCAGTGGCAGCAGTTCCCCCATACATGTCTTGACCTTCTCCTCAAGGGTTTGCGGTGTTGCATCCTCAGCCACCGGCTTCTCGGGCTTGGGTTTCTTCTTTGGGGCTGCCACCTGGACACAAAGGCCACAAGCGTGGCAATTCACAATCTAAAATGGACATCGTTGAAGATTTGTAGTTCATACATACCATATCATATAATCACTCCAACATTCACAAAACGCACCCTGTTTGAGAAGACTGTTTGGAACCCAGATCGCACTCCTTTAAGGAGACTGGTTTGGAAGGATTGGGGTTTGAAACCACTCCCTTTGACTCCCTTGCGCTCGCCTTGCCGAGCGCATCCAGGAGTTCTTTGCTGCCCTGCTTTGCTGCTGAGACTTTGGGAAGTGCACCAGGCCGGAGAATTCCTTCGTCTTGGTCTGTCAGTGCTTGGCGAAGCTCCTCTGACACTTCTGACTTGGCCTTCAAAGACATCTTTTCAGAAGTTTCATCATCCCTTCGAACTTTTTCCCCGATCCTGATGAAGAACCAGGACTCATCATCGTCGCCGGGGAAATCCTCATCTTCGTAAAACAATCCTGCCGCCTTTCGACGACCGATGAGATTCTTGAACTTTTCCTCCGAATACCTGCAAGGGTTGCTTTGCAGAAGAATGGGAGTGTTTTGGCTTTATAATATTGTAAGTTGTGTATATATTGTTTCCATGTGTTTTGCAGATAACCTTCCCAACAGTACCACACAAAAAGCTTTCCAAAGTTTCGAGACTATACAAAGACGAGACGCTGTTGTCTCAGGATTTTGCCCTGCACTGCTTGCCAGCCCTTGGTCGTGCGGTTCCGTTGGGTGATGTCACGTTCCACATGCAATTTGCAAGATTGCCAACTCATGCCAGTGTCCATCCATATGTTGAATAGCTCCGTCTTCTTTGTGGCGTAGTACTCTGACAATTCCTGTGGGAACTTGGCACGGTTGAGTGCTTCACGACAGAACTTGTCCCACTCTTTCTTGTGCGTTGTGCTATTCTTGAGGTCCTCCGAGGCCATGGACGTAGACTTAGTGACAGGCACAAGAGCATGACAGGGCGTTGTCTTCTCATCCTCGTCCCCTTCCTCTTCTTCATGTTCACCTTCCTCCTCCGCTTCTTCTCCATCTTCCTCCTCCTCCTCCTCTTCTTCTTCTGCATCATCTTCGCCGCTTTCGTTTGCTTCTGCATCATCATCCTCCTCCTTTGCCTCACCCTCACCTTCATCTTCACCCTCGCAAGCGTCCTCTTCATCTTCATCTTCATCTTCACCCTCCTCTTCATGAGGCTTTGTCTCCTCATTCTCGCTCTCCTCATCCTGTTGGCTTCCATCCTCACCATCATCGTCGCTTTCCATCTGATCGCCCAACGCCTCTGACAGGCTGTCCTCACTGTTTGGTTCCTCATCATCAGGCAAATTGTCCAGCACATCCACAAGCTCTTTCAATTTTGCCTCAGCTTTTTGCTTTGCTGTGGGAGGTGTTGACAGTACAGCTTCACGCTGTGGTGTTGCTGGCACTGAAGGTTTCTCACATGGTGTTACCGGACGTGCATTGGCTTCCTTGCTTGCCTCCTTTGCATTCTTTTTCTCCTTGATCTTTCCCTTATCTGTCTTCTCTTTCTCCTCTTTATTCTTGGCCTTGTCTCTTACCTCCGCTTTCTCTTCCTTCTCCTTGATTTTCTTATCTTTCACCTTCTGTTTGCCCTCCTCTTTTGCATTCTTCGCTGAGTGTTCCTTCTTCTCTCTTCTTGCCTTCTTTTCTTCATCACCCTTCTCATCACCCTTCTCAGCTGTCTTTCTTTTCTTCTCCTCATGCGTCTTTGCCTCCTTCAGTGCGCCCTTCCTCTTCTCACCCACAGGCCACCTTGGCTCAGAAGATTCAGTTGGGAAACTCACTCTCTTGTTCTTCGCACTTTTCTCTTGCTTTCTCTTCACATCACGGCTTGCCTCACCACCACTCTTCGGTGGCTTCTCTGCTTTTTCAGATGGCTTCGCCTTTTTCACACGCTCTCGAGATCTGCCTCGGCTCTCTTCTTTCTGCCGCTTGCCACCTTTCTCCTTCCGCGCTTCCATCTTGGTTTTCTTATCATCTTTTGTCTTCCTCTCTGAGTTCTTGCTGTCGCTCTTCTGGTCTTTCTTTTTCTTCTCCTTCAGAGCTTGTTCATCGCCCAGGCCACCTTTCCCTTTGATGCGAAAGCGAGGTTGGTCACACGGTGCAGTCGGCATGATTTGCTGGAACCAAGAGCTGAGAGCACAAGCTGCAAGCTTGTATAAGAAAGGATTGCCTTTGGAGCTTGACCATGACCCTCCCTGCATGTTTTTTAAGATACATTAAGATACATACAAGTCGCAACCATTCTCGACAAATCGCAACTTTTTCTCGGCAAATCGCAACTTCCTTTTGGACCCGTTTTTCTTGAAAAAATATAGGGTTGAGAGTGTTTCCTCCAGTTCCCTTTAGATTGCTCTAGGGCTGACTCCTGCGGGAACCCTGGTTGAGAGTGTTTCCTCCAGTTTCCTTTAGATTGCTCTGCGGGAGCCCCTCCCAGCAGGCCTGCAGAAAGTCGCTCATCTCCTCCAAGAAAGAGGCGAGGCATCTGGACCTGGAGCATGTTGGCCACTGTCACTCCACTTGTACATGTTGTTCCTCTTTGTCACATGTGGTTTGATTCTGACGCCTTGATTGGTTTCCAGCAAACACGATTGATGTGTGAGAAAAGGTCCATAAATCCTTCCAACCTGAGGGAGATCGCCGTGGCCACTACAAAACTGACATGTTCAAGTGACTGATGATTGGATTCAATGTTTGGTTCTCCTCTCGTGCTGATACCATTGATAGCCAACTGATTTGCAGGCCTTCCCAAAGCACAGATCGCCTCGCAGATCGCCCAAAGTGTGGCCACCTAGCCAGATGGGGCAATTCCATGGGGCGGTTGGGGCGATTGGGAGATTGGGTGGAGGTTGCGAAGATTGTGGGTGGGGAGATTGTGTGTGTGCGCATGTGAAGGTGGGAAGGTTGTCAATCTTTATCATTCAAAGCCCAAACACAGTGTCATTGACTCCTGGTTTACGATCTTCACGCCCTCCCAGTTGCAGTCTTGATTAGCTGCTAGCTATATGATTAGCTGCGCATCCAATTGACAGAGGCCAGTGCAGAAGCCCACCAAAAGATATCTGAACAATTCTGAACACACGGTTAGGTTGGTCATGAATCCATCGTCGTGTGAAGGGCCGTTGCACTGCAGCCGCTTTCGCAGTGCATGAGATGAGAAAAAACCTCGACGTTCACTTTGAAGTGAGGTAGGAGATCACACTAGCTAGCTCAGCGCCGTCACTCCATGCTTTGTTGATGCTAGCCCTGCCATCCAAGCGGTTCGAACTCTTCCTCGCTGCCACTAGACAAGCCTTGGCTTGCCGCTTATTGGCCTTCTCATGCAAGGTCCGCAGCTTTGCAAGCGAGATGCCGAACCTCACAAAGATCATCTCTTGAGTGGGGGGCACTCAAGAACCTGTTTTGGTCAGAGGATCGTTGGAGGTTGTGTGAATAGGGGCTCCATTTTGGGGGCAACTGAATATGTGCTCCATGTTGGAACTATAGGAGCAGAAGCTGACAAGCCTTTGTGAACTTCTTGAAAAAGAATAAACAATTCCACCCAAGTATCTGTTTGGGGTAGCTCTGGCTCTTTTTCATGTCTCGCCCACCATGGAACCGTCGAACTCCAGCCCGGTTGACGTATTTCACCGTCATCTCAACTTGCCGGCGTTGAGGAGGCACCCTGAAATCGTTCAGGCCATTAATGCACCGATGGCCTGGGATGACACATAAACAGTGGTACCACAACAGCTTTTTAATCATGTAGAGGTTGATCTTTATAACGCAAAAACAGTGGTACCACAAAAGTAAAGAGGATAGTCTTTCAAGTCTCTGGAATACAAAAGAGAAGGCTTTGGCGTTGGTCCTCCATGATCGCCCATTCGCATGTACAGCCTGACATTGGGAACCAGTCGTAGATACTGCTGAAAGAGCGGCAAGTACTCCATGCAACTTGTAGCTGGTTGTTCCAGGACAGTCCATACAGCTTTTGCAGCAAGGATCAACAGCAGCACCAGGGCTCTGTTAGCCAGAATGGTTCCCTGCCGAACTGCATTGGAGTCCCTCCGGCCTAGAGGGTTGGCCGGCGAGCGGTGTGTGCTCCCACGTGACCTCAGAATGAACTTGTCCAACCGGTTTCCAACACGCAGAAACAAACCTCCAGGGTCAGATGTTGTATTACACCTTCTTGGTCTTCGATTGAAGGCCACGCGCTTGAAAAGGGTTTGGACCCCCCCCTGCCCTACACACACTTTGAGACAGGTGGCACAAGGACAAACGTCGAGCAAACAGGCGCCGAGAGATGTCCTGCCCCAGGCTTCAAATTGCAGCAGTGGAAGAGGGCGTTGGCAAAACCCTGATCACTCAGCAGGGTCATGTCCTCACTGATGCTGATGTCAAAGGGCACCGCACGCCGTCCTTCCTGCAAAGGCTACCGCTTGAGGCATAAGGGGCTATAGAAGATTTCAGGGTCACCCCTAATTCTGAATAAAAACCTGTGACACTTGGTGTGGACACACCCCACTCCTCCCACTCCCCACGGGTCACTGCCATGCTCTCTGCAGATCCACTGAAAGCCTCGAAGTGGTCGATCGGCTTCTCAAAGTCCAGCCCCGGGACTGCGAAGACCAATCCCACCAAGGTGGCAATGACCTCCATTCCAACCCAGCAACCCTCTTTTTGTTTAGAAAGGAAACCATTCTATAGATATGAGGAGATATGAGGCTTCAGAAACATTTGCTCCAAACAGATCAAATCTTATTCAAAGCTCAGGCTAGATTCTGCTGGAGCTCTGAGATGGCGAAGGCCATTCATGATCCAGGCGCGCTGTTGGTCCCGCATCGAGACGGGCCGACGCTTCTTCTTATCTTTGGCCTGGGTGAAGGGCAGCTTCATGGTCGCCGCGTTGACTCGCCTCTCCACATCCTTCTTCTGGAGAACGCGTTTGACCATGTTTGCAGAGTCGGAAAATCAAAGATACTAGAGTATATAAAGGGTGCGTGTGCACATGGACGTTCATTCGACGTTCGCTTTACATGGGGTTGACATGTCCTGTGGAGACATGAGATCGTGTCCTGACAAAAGCTCTTTGAGCCGACTTCTCCCACGTTTGCAATACATATCTTTATGAATTACTTCTTGAATGTTTCCATGACCAAATAACACGTATGCGGTATACGATATGCGGTATATGATACGCGGTATTCTTTAACTATGGCTTTCCCGGTAGTGCACCCTGCTTGCTGGGTTAGAGCGATAGCCCCACATGCTGGTTTTGCATAGGCCGCCGTTCGAAGTTCATAGACACAGCTGCCTGTCCCTAAACTTCAGACACTAAACTTCAGACATCCTGTGGATGCCATGAGAAGCGAAACCCAAGACAAGGGCACTCTCTAAGAAAGAACCCTTCATCGTACACCCCAAGATGTTCTTGCCACGGGCCATACATACAACAATTCAAGTTCCATTCAACTTGTCATTCAAACATCTACAACTTTGGCACACTTCTACGAGCATTGCGCGGGTACATCCATGGCCCATTGACATCAAAAGTTAGCGCGGGCCTTCGTTTCAGCCCACGCACCAACTGGGCCCCCAAACTTGGACCATGAGACTTGTCCAGTTTTCTGGCCACCACTTGATGCAGCTGCTGAACCAGCCACCCCGATCTTCTTCACAACATAAGCTTTGGTGAAAACCAAAACTTCGACCGCCTCGGGCTCCCAAGTTCTCTACACAATCTTGAAACCCTATAGATGAAACAAACACTGCAGTGACAGAAACATTGAAAAGCCTTCGATCAAGAACCCAAAACTAAGAAAACGCAATTGCTGAAACACAAGAAAGTTTCAGCCCCACTCGCACTGTGCAAAGTGTAGCTCCGCTTGCCCTTGTAGACAGCATCCTTCAAAGGACGTGCCTCCATAGGAATTTCTGCCAAAGACACCCCTTGGAAGGCATCATCTCTTTCAGGTTCAGGCGCCGCTGTTTTGAGCTTCTTGTTCTGCTTCACCTGTGAGGCCAACAGCAACATAAACCTAAACCAGTCTCCCCCAATAGTTCTGTCCTTGACACACCCCGCTCCCCCCAAAACCTCCCACGCACAAAGCCCAGTCACAGTGGTAGCAGGAACAGGCCGCAAGTCCGTTTGCAAAGCAGCATTGATCGCGTCTGCACTCTTGGGCTTGGAGCACGCTGGCGCCCTCTCCCAATCCTCGTCTGGTGGAATAGCAGCGTCCAAGTTCATGAAGCTGAGAGCCCTCTTGAGAGGCCTGGTCTCCTCGCGTGATCAAATTCACCGTTCTCAACTTCATCAATTTTTTTGACTTTGATTAAACCTGAAGTTCCAACCCAAAATTCCAACCCTTAAGTGCAATCTTCTGACCCCACTCCTTGGAAGACTTGGCAGCTCCAGATCCATTGGATTCTGCGTTGTTCTGCCACAGCACTTTACCATTCAAAGGCTTGTCGCTGGCTGATTTGCTGCTTGAACATCTCTCCTGCCAGAGTTGTTGGTTAGCTTTGATGAAACCATTTGTCCAACCCCTTTTTTGGAGAGCAGTAAAACTTAAAGGAGCTGACGAATTCACTCCTTGTCATTCAGTTTGGCCTTTTCTTCCTCGACCCACTCCAAGTAGCACACGGCTGACGCCAAATTGGAGTAGATGAGCTCACCAAATCTGTGGAAGCATGAGCGAGCGTACTCCAAGTATTGATTGAACACCGCGTCGTTGACGAGCAAGTTCTGAACTTTGCCATCTGGCAGGTCCCCAGAAGAAATCTTCATGGCCAAGTCTGTCTTCAGATCATCAGCCAGACTCTCAATCAGTTTCTGCTCTTTGCGTTCTTGCCGCCCATAGTGGTTGATCGCTTTTCCCATCCAACCAGATGAAACTTGCGAATCCCTGCAGTCACTGTCTTCGTCAGAAGCTTCTGACGCCAGAACCTGGTCTGCGTCAGAACAGTGCTCCTCTTCAGTCTCAGCAGCCGAGTCGGACTTGGGCGTGCTCACAGTGACAGCTGCGTCCTCGCTCCCCTCATCATCATCATCATCATCATTGTTGGAGCTCTCGTAGCCAGGAAGGACCAACGTGGTCTCTGACTTCTTCTTCTTCATCATCCACAGGAATCGGCGCAGCGTCCTAAGTGTATCCAATCTCTCAAGCGCAGAACCACCTACAACACATGGCCACCTACAACACATGGAACATTGATAGACCTGACTGGCCCCGTTCTTGCGTAAAACTACAGCTGAGCATCTTCAGCTGGCGGCATCGCATCCTCATCGGCGCCTCGAGGAGGAGACGGTGCAAGGCAACTCTTCATGTCCTGCACCCTGGAATCATGGGCGTTGCCAGTGTTGCGCCATAGGTGGCGCAACGCTCCAATGCACCGTTTTGCTTTGACTCCTTCTCGACCCGCAAGGTAAGTTCTGTCTTCACCAGCCTTAGGTCGAAAGAGCTTTCGACCCAGCTTCTGGTCCAGCATCAAAAATGCATCGGTCAAGAAATATCCTGAAGGCACCTGGGGGCAAGGTTAAGACTTGTTTGCTCTCTCCCTTGGCTGTCCATACAACTCCAACTCCAAAACCGCGCCATGAATGAAAGATCATTTCAGTAAACACCTACAGAGTCTACGTATCCAAGCAGATTTCAACAAACAGCCACCTTGCGCGGCGAGTACAACACGATTGGCTTTAGCCAGCAGAAGTTATTTGCCAACTCTTGCGATGAAGGCCTTGCGATTGCGGGCTCCAAGATGATAAGGTCCCCGCCGCGGTATGTGTCAGCCCGGATAACATCCACCACTGAAACAGGCAAGTGAGCGAGCATGGAAGATGCCAACTCTTCCTGGGGATCAAAAAGAAAGCCATTGTATAAATGCACGTCCAAGTTCAACCAAGTTATGTTTAAAAAATAGAAAATTGCTGAGAAACCACCCTGCAAGAAAATGTACTTCATCATGTAGTAACCTATAAGGCAAAGGGTCAACATCCTTCTCTTTCCAGCTCACCCGGCCAGGACCTTAACCGTGCACAGAAGTTCCTACCGTGACTCTCCCTGGGTTGGCGCAAACGCACAAGCAGTTAGTTGCAACCCACCCCCACATCGTACACTAAGCCCAAAACGAACTGAACGCCAAATGGATGGCTTGGGAACTTCAGGAACAGGAGCATCAGCAACGGGCGCTGCTTCAACAAGTGCCATTGCTTATAAACAAAACGTTCGTGCCTGAAACCCCAATTGCACTGCGAACGGACAGGCAGTTTCTGCAAGTGCCACCACACCAAAAACAGGTTCGCTGTTGGGTGTGCCTTTCTCACGCATAAAACCTCACAATGTGACTCAATGTGATTTTCATACGTTTCACGTGAATATGATACGTCAACAAGGATATCGCAAAACCCGCTCGTGGCACCCTTGCTCACCCAGCCACCCAGCCTCCAATTCCTGTGGAATTCCCCTGGAAATGGCCAGCCCCCAACTCGGCCTCGGTGCCAGGCTTTGTGATTGTGGGATGAGAGGTTCTGATTGCGCGCTGAAGGATTCTGCAGAACTCTCGCAGAAAGAAGAGGTCAACATTTTTTTTGGCAGCTTTGTGAAAGAGATCTAAACAGTGAACAATGAACCTCAGAAATAACTGCAGTCCTTCAGTCCATCGATCGATGGCAGAGCTAGCTGCGTTATATATATGTTGAAAGGTTCTAAGGTGAAATAGCTATGTTTTCGAGGTTCTAAGGTGAAATAGCTATGTTTTTCATGCTCAGCACTCTCAAGCTTTTGCTCAGGGCCAGACTCAACGCGTTTCACAACTTCGTCCACGCATGGCCGAGGTGAAAGAAATTGCATGAGGAACTCTTGGTCTAAAGTGGTGAACTGTAAGAAGCTTGACAACAAAAAACAAGTAGAGTTGCAAATGGACTCATGGACTCTGCACACTTGGGATTGAAATCCAGCCATGACTCCAAAACCACAACTGCAATTGATAGATTGCATCGCGGGCGCTGCGACATCTGGCTTCCAAAGTTGGGCCTTT